CTTTCCCTATTTCTATTTCATCCATATAAATTAGTAGATTAAAAATTAGAATACAAATAAGATAATAATTGACTTTCTAAAAGGAAAAAAAAAGAGTGTATATTGTTAAAGACAAATATATTGTTATAGATACCCTAAATACTAGTATTAATCATTATTATTAGGAGAGAATGAAAACTCACCAATGTTTCTGCATTTACCAAAATTGGGCAAGAAACCCCTATCTCTGAGGAACCTGTAAGCGTTAGCGACAAGCTTCATGTCATCAGCATTCAAGCACGTGTCCAGAACCTCCCAATCCCTCTGCGGCCCGAACCGCTCCAACTCGCCCAACCGGAGCCGAGTCAACTCGGCCAGCGGAGAGCCGCCGTCGACGAGCGGCTCCGGCTGGCGCTCCGTTTCGAGGGACTTGAGGAATCTCAGGGCTCCGGCGAGGTCTTTCCGCTTCACCGCCTCCTCGTACTCGCGCCACTCGCGGAAGGCTCTGCGTATTGGAGTCGCGGCAGGGAAAGCGCGGGAAAATCTGAGGGAAAATGGAGGAGATGCGAGAAAGTGAGGGAAAATTTGGAGGTTGGGGCAAACGTTCGGAACAGCCATGAAAGAGTGGGAAAATAAAATAACGGGAGATGATTGTGTAATTGATCGCGAAAACCCGGAAAACAAAGTCTTTTTTTTTTTTTAAGCATCACATCTCTATTATATATACTAATAAGAAAAAGGCAATTCGGCATGCATTGTATTAAAAAAAAATAATGAAAAATTACTTATAAAAAAGTAATTATTAACAATAAATAAAATATAAAATAATTTATGTAAAAATGAAAATTAAAAATAATTATTGTAAAAATAATTTTTTAGTTTTAAATTTTTAAATTTGATTAAAAAATATTTTTCTTAATTTTTTAAAATAAAAAAGTATAACAATCCAAAAAAGTAAAGATCAAGATAATTGTCAAAAAAGATATTCTCTTTATATATTAATATATATATATATATATTGAAAGACATCGAGTAATTTTGTGCTTTTAATAATTATAAACAAATAACATATTATAAGAAGGTTGTATATAAGAAACTAAAAACGGTTACATGTCTTGATATTCCCTTTATAATATGTATAGATATATTTAAAAATCATGTCTATCTATAAAAAGAATACATGTGTTTATTACTTTTGTGTTTATATATATTTTTAGATTATTTTATTTTTAAAATTTTAAATAATAAAAATAATATTAAAAAATAATTATTATTAATATAGATAAATTTATAATTATTTTTCGTATTTATCCTTAATATTTATTTTATTTTTAAATTTTTAAATTAAATATAAAGACATTAAATATTATCATCCATCTCGTGTTCATAATTGTTTTCCCTCGTCATGGTTCTTATAAGGCTCTCACTTTTGCTTCTTATATTCATCATCTTAGTCCCTATTTTATTAAACCTTCTTTTTCTTGGGATTTCAGGAGATGATGATTGGTGATGCAACATTTTCTCAGGCAAGGCAAAAGAATGCAACTTGTGGTGAAAGTCGTAGTTGTACTCAATCACCTGCCTTACATGTTAATGTTTGGAAAAATGTAAGCTTCAATGGGCCTCAATATCATACGGATTCTAACGTTAAGTAGTAAAAAAATGTGTCTTATGGATGAGGCACTAAAATGACTAGAGAATAACAAGTTTTTAACCCGAAAAATATTAAAAAAAAATCACAAAAATATTTGAGAGCCACGATGACGCCGTCGTTATTGCGTGTGTGGCCACGGTAATGAGGTACCGTCGCTGTCCACAAAAGAGAAATCGTCGAAACCCTTGCCGTTCGAGGGATCAATTGCGTCGCTGTGAAACAAATCTCGTTTTTTCTAGTTAGTCATAGCGAATTCAGATTACGAGTAGAGGAAAGAAATTGAAAATCCTATGTTCCGTCGTTGCGCGTGTGGCTACGGTGACGACGTCACTGCGCGTGCGATCACGATCACGATGACGAGGCACCATCGCAGTCCACCAAAGAGGAATCATCGAAAATCTCGCCGTTCAAGGGATTGATCGCGTCACCGTGGAACAAATCTCATTCTCTTCGATTAGCCATAGTGAAATCAAATTATAAGCAGAGGAAAGAAATTGGAAACCCTAGGTTTCGTCGCTGTGCGTGCAACCATGGTGGTTCGACGGGGATGAGTTGAGAAAACTAATTACCGATTAGGTGGGTTGCCTTACCAGTTGAGAAAACAATCTCGTACATTGATTTTTTTATTGATATATCCAATGGCTAAAACTAATGATTCATCCATTAGGGACATTTTTTACTATTTTATGTTACAATCCGTCTCAATATCACAATGAGATGATGATACTATTGTGGACATCAAAATTGCAATAAACTCGAGGAAAAACTCGAGGAAAGTCTTTCAATAAATGTAGGACTATTGAAGGTGTTACATACATTACCTAAATTTGATTTTGCTTGCACGAACATTTTATACCAAGTTTTAAATGATAACCTATAAGGTTTGCATGCATTTCTAGTCGATTAGGATTAAATTTGTTTTTTTTTCCTTAACTCTGTTACTTTTTTATGTGTGTTTTGTTAGACTTTAGGAAGGTTCGTCATTGAGTGACCAGCCTTTGGACTTTAGATGCGTGTTAAAGCTTCAACTTGGCCAAAGAAAGAGCATAAGACCTTAAAGTTGAAGAAAAGTGAGGAAATTTTCAACCAAAAGACATTACACATTGCATGTGGTATTTATCATAGGCATCTTAAGTTGTAGGGAAGCCAATCTGATAATTAGAGGCTACCACGACTAGCCATGGTAAACACCATAGTTGTAGAGTATCATTGTAAACACTTTTTCTATTTTTATTTATTTATTTTTATATATTTTAACTATTTGGGCTTGGACCACTTTCGAATGTAGTTCCTATTTTTTTAATAGTGTCTCACATATCAATATGACATGCATCAAAGGAAGCTATCATATGTTACTTCTAGTAATCATAGTTTTGCTCCTTGAATTTGGGATGTTTGTTAACAACATGTGCTTTATTATTTTCCATTGCTAACTTTACACTGTTAAAAGTGATATTTCATTTTCCTCCTTAAAGAGAAGGTTTTCATTTTTCAAAATATCAGTCTTTGGACAATTTTTAAAACTTATTTTGTAAATCCTTGTAGCCATTCAATAAAATGGAAGAATTAGATACGGGATCATTGTAAGCTTCTAAAAGAGTAGGGAGATGAAAAAAAAAAGTTACCTCATCCTCTTCCGACTTTGATTATGGGTGACAAAATGAATAAGTCCAATTTATTATGGTTTGTCTTGCCAAAAAGAAGGCAGGGATAGGCTACCTTACCTAATGAGTGAGTTAGAAATTTTGGTTATCCTGCTTAGGGATGAATTGGTAGTCTGACAGGTTGGTTCACCAAAATTAAAAAATAAATTTTTTTATTTTACCATTAATTCAAATTAATAATTTAATTTTTTTAATAGCAATTGACAAATTTAATCAAAGGACACATGACATAAATTTCTCTTTCAATTTCAAAACTATAAAATAAAAATAACAAATAACAAATTACTAAGTCTTTCTTTTTCAATCAAGATTACTACTAATATTCTTTTAACAACAAAAATTTATAACAATCCTTAAGAATTACAACACAAGTACTAAAAGTCCTTCAATAAGACTATACCACAACGCAAAGTGACCCAATCCCTTTGAATCTACATAAAAAGGGGTGAGAGAGTTCTCTCTCTAAAATGTGGGGTATTTATTGGGTAGTGGGATTAACCCTCAATTCTGTTGTTTGTCTTCTATGCTTTGTGAGAAAATCCAAAACTTGTATTTGTAGTTGAGTAATGCATGTCGTACGCTTCATATGTGCTTTGTGGTTAATCTTTGACTTATATATGTTATGAATTACGAACTATTTGAGTTAATATTGAATCTATGAGATCTTGTAGTTTTTGTAAGAAACCCTAAAATGAAGAATGATGAATTTGTGATTTGTTTTGTTAAAGTTATGTATGTTTTTTGTTAATTGATGGTATGGAAGTGCACTTTAGGTATTAATTATGTTTTTAATCAGTTAGATTGAAAGAAGTGAGTTTGTGCTTTGTTTTGAAAATTATGGTGTATCTTGGTATTTATGTGATTGACCAAATAGAATTTTGCTTATTGTGTTGGAAAATAGACATTTGGGGCTATAGTTTAGACTTATGAATTATACAAAAAGTTAAAAAATCACCGAGTTATATGAATTAGAAGATTAGTATCACATCTTGTGTTACACCCATTCTACGCCAATATACATAATAAAGTAAATTAAAGAAATATCAATTTAACATAGGTAAAATGGTTCACATATCCAAAAGAAGATACATTTCCAATATTCGATCAATTTAAAATAAAGTTTAGAAAGCAAATATATTCGTAAATAGTTTCAAAGGAAATTTAAAAACTCCAATTACAATAAAAATTAAAGTCCTAAAAGGCCCTTGCCCCAATGTAACACTATCAGAGCACTCACATAACTAAAATATTGGCACCTTGAATGTCACTCATGTCCACATCTTCCTCACTTAAAAACAATAACAAACGTATGGTGAGAAAAGAAAATATTTATATAGAAAGCACATCAAGAAATTTTGCAAAATAATCTCAAAGAAATATAACCCATAAACACAACATTCATCATTTAAATATGTTTAACATCATTTTTCAAATCCACACATTCCATCATCTCATCACAATCCACATGTGTTCCTATAAAAAAATTTCTCATATACACCATGTCACACATCTAGTATCGTATCACATACATGCCCTTACTGTTGCATCACACACCCAACATCATGTACACACACGACTGTGTTAATGCATTCCACTACCGGTACTAATATCACGCATATGACCGTACCGATGCATCACACATCTAGTACCGTATCACGCATACAACAATGTCCACAACAACACATAAATAACATTGTATCACATGCACACCTTTATAGCCCAATGTCATGCATACGACTGTGTCCAATTATCACATCACAATTCACAATTCAATTCCACATCACATGCACAACCAACATTTCCACAATAAGTCATACACATATCTTGCACAACCTCCTCATACACATCAATTTTTAATTCACAATTAATTTACATTCCATCCAGCACACACCATTTATATCTCTTCATACAATAGTCATTACTGGATATCATACGATTCACAACCATCATCAAAATCCATCAATATAATACCATATTTCATAATCCCACATCAAACTCATTTAATCATATCATAAGTATTATAAAGCATCACTAAGAAATCATAAAGTATCACAAATATGCCAAAAAAGGAGTCCCAAAACGTCAAAAACACAAACTAAAATAGAATACCCATGTCAGGCACCGTAAATCCTGACAACTTGACCATAACTTGAGTTATATGCATTCATTTTGAGTGATTCAAAGCCATTAGAAAGATAACATCCAAAGCTACAACCTTTATGAAGAACACGAAGCCTAAAAATGTTGTTAAGGTCACCTCGTATGGCTGACAACATAAAAACTTAATATTTCACGCACTAGAATCACTAGTGAAAAAAAGGCTTTTAAAATCGGTTATTTTTCACTTTTAAAATCGGTTC